ATCTGATGATATACGAAGAGGCGGATTAAAGATAAATTTTAAAAAAATTGAATTCAAGGGTCGTAGAGGTCGTGGCTCAATATTCGTTTGGGCAAGCGGCAATGGAGGTAAAGATGCAGATTCGTGCAATTGTGACGGTTACACGAATAGTATTTATACATTGTCGATATCGTCAGCCACAGAACATGGCAACATCCCGTGGTATTCAGAAGCATGTAGCTCAACGTTAGCTACAGCCTACAGCAGCGGTGCAACTGGTGAAAAAATGATTGTTAGTTTTAAGACTTATCCGTTGCGTTTTGTTATGAATTTTAAAATGCATTTTTGCACTGAATCAAGAAAATATTTTTTTCATCAAAAGCGTTTCATCATAACCATGTCTGGAAAATGAAATCGGTGACTCTAAATCGATGAAGCGAACAAAGATCTCGTATTGATTTGAAGAAGAATTTATTGATCGAATACATGTATAGGTAACAACCGATTTGCATCATTCATGTACGAATGCGCATACGGGTACTTCTGCCAGCGCGCCGTTGGCTGCAGGAATTGTGGCACTAACTCTAGAAGCAAATCCAACACTCACATGGCGTGATCTTCAGGTTGGTTTTTTAAAATTTGATAGTGGAGATTGAATTAAAGTTACGAATCTAGCTTTGATTTGATGTTACATGATAACAGTGAAGAGAAATTAGGAGTTGATTCATTTGCAGCACATCGTTGTAAGAACAGCACGTCCGTTGAATCTGCGAGCTGGTGATTGGATCACAAACGGTGTCGGTAGAAATGTATCGCATTCATTTGGATTTGGTTTAATGGATGCTGGTGCTATGGTTAAGTTGGCCAGTAATTGGAGCAGTGTTCCTGAACAGCATAAATGCATTATTGCTTATCCAGCCAGATACAAGTAATTTATCTTTCTTAGCATAACTATTTTGTTGCTATGTACGCAATTGTTTATCATTAAGAACTTTTGTTTGTTCTACTCTTAATGTTGCACTTTTTTCATTGAACATTGAGCGGTATACCGTAAAAACTAGCTTGGATTCGTTACAGCAAACGTTACAGTAACGGTGAAAATGCTAATAATTCTGTTTGATTATTTTAAACTCATCGCTCTTTTGTTGCTTTTAACTCATTTCACCTAGTTGGACTCCAACTGGATGATATTTTGTGTCAGCTGAGCGTTGGTCAGATAATAGAATCAAGTCGTAACAATGCAACTTTTCAATATGTACAATCAAATATGCTACATAAGATTGAAATTTTCTTAAAAACGTTTTCAGAACTATTCCGCATGGCAATCGTTTACAATTGCAACTTTACACGGACGGTTGTGCAGGCGAAACACTCAGTCGTGTGATTTATTTAGAGCATGTTCAATCGATTATAACACTTACTGCACCAAAAAGGGGCGATATTCAAATTTATTTAACTTCACCTTCTGGTCAGTTTACACAGCAGATTCTGAAAAACAAATTGCATTCATTTTTCAAATTTCCAGTTTTTTTTGTGGCTAAAATCATTTGTACATTTACAACACTCATTTAGTATTCACGATACTGCCTCATTTGCATTCTCTTTCTAATTCGGTGATTGAACTTATCTCAGATAGTTCTCAAATAATTTGTCTATCGCAACAAAAACAGTCTGGAAACAGATAGTAGTCGTTCTTATGCGAATTATTACATTTGATTCATTCGTTTGTGTACAAGGAATTTGTGTGTGTGTGTGTGTGTGTGTGTGTGTGTGCGTATGTCTCTAGTGCGATGGCTCGTAGATTACCAAGCGTGATCGGTATGGCTGACACTATAAGCACTCATTTTAGAAGTGGGCCTCATGTGGAGATATGATAACTGTTTTGTTCGTGATCATTTTCTTCTTGTGACATTTTTTGATTTACTCGCAGTTGTTTTTGTGTAATTCACTTCTTTTTTTTGCATTCAGGAACTCGCTCGACTCTCTTGGCAAAAAGAGCTCGTGACACATCGCGAACTGGCTTTAGGGAGTGGGCATTTATGACAACGCATAATTGGGGTGAGATGGCACCCGGCTTATGGACACTTGAAATTGATAACGATGGATGGGACGGTTTGTTGTTAGATGTTAATGCTTATTCGACAAACTAATTGCAGTACACTTTCTAATTAGTCCTAAATGAAAGTCATCCGTATTGTCGAAAGGGCTGGTAAATACAAGCCATGTCTAATCCAATACATCCATTTTCAAAATACTGATTGTTTTGATGTAGGATTACTTTCCAAGCAGTTGGCAAATTCACACTGCAGTCATCTTTAGAATTAGTATCAGCAACCGATCGCGATACATTCGTCATGATCAGTAAATTACAGACTGATATTATTTCAGATGCCGAATTGATTCGATGGGATCTTGTAATGTATGGTACAGCCGCTGAAGTAGGTCCATCGGGTGGTATGCATTCATCTATATTAATGGCACGCTCCATATCTGATGGGTATCACTCAGATATTCTTTTAATGGACTCTTCAAATGGAAGATCGCTTTATTTGAATGCATTCAACTTTTTAAATCTTTTCATATTCATTGTTTATAATAACATTATTTGGTGCAATCTTCACAGTTCTTGCATCTGATTGTTTATTTCATGCTGTTTATAGTTCATTCTCCGGGTTACATCTTCAGCTTTTTAGTCTCACGTTATAGTGGAACGATTCATATTGTATTGATTATTCGGCAATTGTTTCTTATGATTGTTATTGTTGTAGCTGTTGATCAATTGATATCATATTTTGTTGAGTAATCTAGAGTTCAATTTTTCATTTCTGCTGTTATTACTGTTGTACTTTAATGATGGTGATAGTCACATTTGTCGCATGGTATATCCTCTCATTTGTTGTCGGATTACAGAACTTGTTCGTTAGGTTGCTATCTCTTGTATTTAGCAAAATGTTGGCGTCATTTGAACGGGGATCTGCAACCACCATATGTGTGAGTAGATGTGACGAGACGAAAATTTTAGTGTTTCGCTTTTTGAATGTTCTTACGCCTATCTTAATCATCTGGCAACAATCAGGTCGGTATTCATTCTCAACATGCAGTCGCAATGTGCTCTATTAAAGTGAGTTAGTTATCCTCACTGAATTCGTCATTCACTACCTCATTTCTCTGATTCGAGCGCAAATAATTGTGCTAGCGCTCTGAATGCATCGCAACAATAGAAATGTGCCAAAAACGCGATGGTGACAGATATGGAGTATCTTAATGTACATTCAGAACAGAATATGGTAGGTTTCCGATGAGAGAGGAGGATATACTTAACTAACTTATTGTGTTGCACCTCCATCTTATAACGAAATTGTTCGTGTGAATGTGTCGTTTTTTGGCATTTTTTATTGAAATCGTTTTATTTTGACTGTTCCTTTCTGCTAAGGAATTTAGCCAACTAAGCTGCGTAAGAAACGCTGAAAATGTACAGATGACATTGTGGTGTGTATCATTTATCTGCCATATAATGCATTTAGTATTTAGATTTGCAGTCTTCATAATTCGATTTTTTCTTGATTCAAATTTTTATCATCTGATGTTCATATCGTGAAAAGATCTTAAGATTCGCCATTAATTTCTCTTAGGTTCTGTTTGTTTTGTTTTATTTTAAACACATTATTCGCATTTTATTCATCTGCTTTAATTTGCCTTTCAACAGTGTTGTGGTTGTGTGTTTCATCGTCCTATTGTAATATTAGTTTTAATCACTTTATTATCTCTATTATTCTAATTGTTATCATTATTAGTTCTGATTTCTTTCATAATCAGATTGATGTTTTCTATATTCTAATCTATTTCATAGAGAATTTTCTCTATTTGCCCAATGGACAATTTCACTGAAATATCGATAACAAATTATTATTATTGGTTGAGATTTGTTTATCGGTAGAATATAACTTTTAAATGTTTGTTTTGTTTTCGATGTTGATTTTGTGGGATAATTTTCGAATTCAGTGAATAGTTGAGCACAAAGCTCAACGATAACGACTCCTTACACCAGGTTATTATCAAAATCACCGCACACGATTCAATTTGGCTCAAGTTTAAACGCTTATTCGGAATTAAACTCTCAGCGTTAATTTAGACTTTGAGTAAGCTTGGGATGAGTTTGAAAGTTGACGTAGGAATCGAGTAATCGAACAATGCTTTCGGGAGTGGCGTTTTTTAGCGAAACAACATTTCATTTGCGAGTCTAAGTCTGCGTTTTCATACGGAGCATTTTTGATTGTGGTTTAGCGTTGAATAATTGCACGTTCCGAAAGAGATAGAAGTCTGTTCCATTAATTGATCCTTTTCATTATCTTGAAAAGGATCAATCAGCTTTTAAATATTCAAATTTGCCTTGAAAGATTCACAGTTCAAGTGTTTGTTGTGCTGATTCTTCTCTCTATTTCATTTGTTTGAACGTTTTTATTATTATTGTTGTTTTCTAGTCTGTATTTTTTATACATAGTTTCTAGGTTTTCGCTTCAAGACACTTTTTTGTTAAGATCTGTATTCATTGTGCTAAAATCTACAGTTTTCATTTTCTTGATCACCATACAAATGTTTGCATTCGTTGTTGTTGCCATTGGCACTGTTATTATTATTATTATTATTATTATTACCATTATTAATGTTTTCGTTCCTGCTCTTATTATGATAATTTTTATCATTTGTATTATTGCATATAATGATAATATTTATTCTCGTTAGTCATTGCATTCCAATTGTTTTCGTTCCGCTTTGGTGGTGTTCTCGAGCATTCTTCACGCGCTAATCAGCTGTTATCTGAACCAATGACATTCGTTTTGTATTTTTAATTTATTATTCAAAAAATAATTGATTGGTTATTATCTGTAATCGTTTTGTTTCGCTGTCTTTCGTCGCAATGCCGAATTGTTTCATCATTGCATTTTTCAATTTGAGATAAAGATTGATTCGAACGTTATTATCAGTTGAATGATGTTTGCAGTGATGCTTTTTTGCTTTGTTTCAGTTAGCGACGGATATGAGTGCATAGAAAAATCATTACAAAGCGGTTATCGTGAAGCTGTGATAAGCGAAAGTAGTTCTTTAATTTAAATTTCAACATTCATCTATATGGAAATGAACAGGCGATTTTAAAATTTGAGCTGTAATTCGGAAAGCATTTCGGGTTAGTCGTCGCCGATCATCATTAGTAAATAACGACAAAAGTCTCGTCAACCTTTCTAACTCTCAGCCGTTCAACAAATGCAAGGGGGTGGGGGCATCAACCTCATGAAGGTAACCGATATGATAGCCGTAGTTCAGAGCTGTGGGATCTACGTGAGCAAGTTGTGATTTACATAGACGCTTGATACTGATTAATTTAAAATTATGGTTATACAGCTTGTGTACTTGTCTCTACAACTACATATCCACGTTTGCAATATACATATGATAGATTATCATGATGCGGATGTTATCTGAAGACGGTGTACATGTATTACCCAAAGTTTAGAATGCTGCGCTCCAGGTGATCAAGGTATCTTTATATAGATGTTTGTATCTGCAGTAGCGATGTTTATATTCGAGTCAAGCTGCTCTATTCCTGTTCTATTCTAAGCAATAAAAACACCTGTAATTATTATTTGGTCTGTAGTAACTAATTTGTGTAACTAGTATATGTTTTTGATGCATGTGATAAAATTTTAATTTTTATGCTGGTTTATAGGTAAATAATATAGACTGGTTGTTATTTATGAGTAATAATGCGAGTACAATGTAATAGTAATACAATAGAATAAAGTCAAATAAGTTAGAATGAAGAGAGATAAATGATAATAAATTTGACAACAATGAATTTGACGAAAATAATTGAAACAATTGCACCAAGCTAAGTTTGACGTTAATTGAACAACCAAGTTTGAGGTTAATATTGATTGTTGCTATTTCGACTTGGATTGACACTCCCTGGGTTTACTTGGCTGGGGTCTTGATTTATTCCACCTCAAAGCAGGGTAATTAAACCTTGTAATATCGACACAACGCACATGACATCACATACCATAATGCACGTAAACTAGGAAGTAAGCATTGATATGTAAAAGAGGATTAAACGATGAATTATGTTGATTCTTGCTCCGAATGAGCGGAGTGACTTGTTAATAGTTAAACAATTGAAATAACTGATTTATTCAGGCTAATATGGAATTTGTGAAAAAAAAGATTGCAAAAAATGATAAAAGTACCAATAGATTTCAATAACAAGGAATTGGTGGAATAAAGATTTCAATAAATGATAATTTGCGAATTGTTCAGTTCGAGACATAGATATGTTGCAATATAGCATTTTTTTTACAACACATTACCATTGTTACATTATTCGGTTCCCACATTACGATTAACGATACAATTTTTCTCATAATCATTTCCTACGCAATATTTGATGTTAGCGGATATAAAATATATGTGAACCAATTGAAAATGAAACAATGACTCAATGATTAATATAATAATTTTGCTCGACATTCCCGATCAACAAATGATAAAGATGTGGATGAAGTGGCTGAGGATTTTGTTTGTTTGTGTATTATAAACTGAAGTGAATACATCCTCCTAATTGGGCGAAATTACCGCAAAATTAATGTATGAGTTGGTGTGGTCGAATATGCTCTTGTGAGTTGATGTGGTACTTTACCATCTTGTGCTTGGGTTGAATATAGTGTGGTAATAGGAGGTGGAAGTGGTGGGTTGTATGTGTAACTAGGAGGAAATGCGGTTAGTGATGTTGAATGAGGAGTGATGTGCATAATGATAGGACTGATGGCGAGATGACACCAATCTCCACAGAGGCGTGGGTTTGAATCCCACTCTCGTCACCGGCTGAGCTCCCATGTAATGATCTATAACAACAATACATCACTAATAAACGTAACAAATGAGAATAATAATTAAGATGCCTAGACAAACGTAACAAATGAAAACATACACAATTCGAATGAAAGAACCAACAGATCGCAAGATTGTTTGATTGAAGATGCTTGAATTGACGTATCTTAATGGTTGAAACAATTGTTTGGTTGATGATCGGTTGTAATTTATTTGAAGGTTGGAATGTGGTTTGATCGGAGTGTGAATGTATGGATAGTTTGGAGTGCACTCTATGTGAATTGAATAGTATGAAATAGGTCAGGGATGATTGGGGAGTTGTTCAGTTCGAGGACAGCTTGGATGGAAATGCTTAATCAACTGAGGAATACTTGCAGGTTGTTTGAATTGGGGAGGGCTAGGAAAAAATGTTGAGTTCGTGACAGTGGCGACGGGGTGACTGGATGAGTTACTGCGTCGGTTGAGATGTTGACGACGGTTTCCAGACACCTTACAATTACACGATATTGAAAATAATTAATAAATTAGAATGCGTTAGTCGTTCACTGCACAGTACTTATTTATTTGGAAATAACGAGTAACGAAATAGATGCCGAGACAATATATGAGAGCGGCAAATAATAATAATTACTGCAGACGTAAGGAAGATTTTGGGATAGTTGACACTAACAGATCACGTTTAGAGGAAAGTCGACAATCAACTTAAACGAATCATGGGGGATGTCGAAATAACTGATCTCTCGCCCTGAGCTTG